TACGCCGTAATATTTGCATAAGTTTACAAATCGTAAATCTTACGCAATACTTCGCATTAAAAATATTCCTGATGTAGAAGCTAAAAATATAAGAAATTTTAGTGAATTAAATGCGCAGAATTATATATAGAAAAGAGAGAATAAATTTTACGCATTTGAGTCACCAGGGAATAGGTAAGAAAGAGGTCAAAAGAGTAAAAATATTTAGGAAAATATGAGAAAAAGAGCATGAAAAGAGTATGGTCAGACCTGATTCAGCACTTCGTACCTTATCTTTAGCAATCAAAAGGATTATAGAAGGTAGAATTATGCATTTAGATTACTAATTCAGCATTTTATGCTTTATTCTTAATAATTAAAAGGGTTACAAAAGGCAAAATTGTAAGAATAACACAATATCATTATTTCGTGTCTCATCTAATAATCAAAAAGTAAATAAATGGATTGCAATATATCTTTAACAAATAGATGAATTGCAAATTCAGCAATTCATGCCTCATCTAGCAATCAAATAGATATCTCTAAACCTCTAATTAACCACTATCTCGAATATGATAAAAAGGTAATGAGAAAGAGCCTGCAATCTAAAGTGTAGTAAGATGCAAAAAATTAGCGATTATTCTGGCTAGCATATAAATTTGGCCAATACTATTTTATAATTTCAGTCAGATCTTTGAGTACAATAATTTAGCTACAATAGCTTCTTACCAGTTCTATAATAGCTCTAGGATACTATCAGATTATTATCATAGTGCTAATTTTCAAAAATTAGCCAGAAATTATATTATAGTGCTGGCTAAAATCTGATCTGCAAATTAATTGCATCATCTGATCACATGATTTTTAGCAATAAACATCAGTCTAGCATTTTGGCCACAAAAAGATCACAGAGCAATAAAAATAAGCAAATAGCTAAAAGGAAATAAAAAGAGGATAGAACAATAAAATCAAGCAAATATTTACAAAGCAATAAAAAAGCTATAGAGCAATAAAATCAAGTGGATAGCAATAAAGCAATAGTAAAATCACAGAACACTAAAAACAGTAACTAGATAATATTATACTCATAACTAGATAACATTATAATACAACTGGATAACACACTTATAAGAGTATTATCCAGTAAACTTAAAAAATTATAATACAAATTATAATATTATATAATAAATTATAAAAAAATTTATATTAATTAATTATAATTAAGTAAAATTTTACTTATTTTACTAATTATTATATATTAATATAAAAGTAATTTAACTGTAATATTAATAAATAAAATAATTATTATAAAAAATAACTTTTAAATTTTTTGATATAAATAAAGATTTAAAAAGTTTTTTTGATAAAATTTTTTTTAAATTTTAATATAATAATTAAAAATTAAAATGAAATATAAATAAATATTAATTATATAAAATCACAAATTTTTTAAAAATAAAATATTTATTATTATTAGATTTTAAAGATAATAGTTATTATAATTATTAAAAGATATTTTTTATTTGATATAAAATATATGATATAAAAATTAGAATCTATAAATTTTTATAAATTTTTTTTATTTTATAAAATTGATAATTGTATATTTTTAAAAGATTTATATTTCTTAAACTTAAGCTATCTAAACCATTGTCCTGAGCGAAGCGAAGGACTATATAATTCTCTGTGCATTGAGTAAATGTTGGTCATGTGAGCGTTTCTCTGTCCACCACGTGATTTTCGTCCAATAAATCGCTCAGGACTCACAACGGTCCGTTTCCATGTTTTATTATATATTACAATTAGGTAAAGAAGTTAACGTCACTGTAGATTATAGCTAACAGGTATATTTTTAGTGTAACTCGTACTTAATCTTAATCGTAATCGTTATGAGGCTCTTTTCTTGTTTTGCTAAAAACCACTTTCAAGATCTAGAATGCGTTTTTTGTGAAATAGCTGCCAATAATAAAGATTCAGAAAGAATAGTGTACGAGGATGAACGAATCATCGTGTTTCACGACAAAAAACCAGCTGCTAAAATGCATCTATTGATTATTCCTAGGGATCATATAGGTACGAATAAATTTATTGTCATTCCTTTTTCATTATTTTCACTACTTCAATTCTTGATATTTTCTCGTTTAAAAGATACGGTAAAGACTTTATCGCCGAACGACGTTCCTTTATGTAGGTTCTTTTAATTTACGAAATATAACTTTCCGAAAATAATAAATTAATTCTGATTTAATTATTCACGCATGCTTTAGTAAGACACATGATTGATATTGGGAATCGACTTCTATCTGAATCAGGTTTTCAGTTACCGCAAACAAGGTAATACATGTTTCCAAATCATTCTTAGCGAGATAATTTGGACTAACGTCTCGATGATAATTTGATTTTAGGATAGGATTTCATGTTCCACCTTATAATAGTGTTAAACATTTACATTTACATTGTTTGGGTCTTCCTTTTAGAAATCGATTCATTGGAATAAGATATATGGAATGGATGCCATGGTATTGCAGTGGTGAAAAAATTCTAAATGCTTTATCATCCGGCTGATTGCATTTGTCATTTTATTAAGAATTTGTCCAATGAAAGTGAAAAAAAAACATTTAAAAGTTGTATTTTAAAATAAAAGTCTTAAACGGACATACCATACTAAAAAAAAAAAAATTTTTTTTAATACATTTCGATCACTATTTTAAAATAAATATATTATTTTGGACTTTAAAATAAATTATTTTTTTCTCCCTTTCTTTTTAGAAGTTTGAGGATTTGGAGTGGTTTTTGTAGTAGATGAACTTTCTGCTAAATCTGCAGCTCTTTGAACTTCAGACGTCCGACTCGAATCTTCAGTTTTAGAAGCTGGATCAACTTTGATAGATGTTGAAATTGATTAATAATTAAAATTTTTCGAATCGTTAAAAAAAAAAAAAATTTTGAAACTTCAGTACTTTCGCTGGTTTTTCGATTTTGCATTTTCAACAATAACGAACGATTCAGGCGTTCGAATTTTTTTAAATCGCTAGCTTGGTCCGTTTTATATTTTAAAACTGTAAAATTATCTGTAACCTTTAGAATCAATTTTCCTTCGGAATGACGCCAACTAGTTACATATCGTGTCTTTTTTTTCCATGAAGAATTGTTGTATTTCATTGTTGTATAAATTTCAAATAGCAATAAATAATTTTTCTTAAGAATTCTATTTGACAAAACTGATGTAAAAAATGATAAAAATACTTCACCGTTTTTGGAGAATTCTGGTAAAGTTCTTCAACTGCTTCTTGATATTTGTTCCATTCTTCGATGTAAACCATTTTTAAATATAAATAATTTTTTTAGATGAGAATTTTAAAATCATGAATCATGTGTAATTGCTTATTGCATAAATTGTTTTTATATATAGAAATTGATGAACATTTGTTCAATAATTATGCTTATCATTTATCAATTGAAATTAAAATAAAAAAAAAAAGATGATCTCTTATCTCGAATTCTTTCTCCCTCTCATATATAGAACCTCAACTCTGACTGCACTTCTTTTCACTTTTTTTTCATACAAAATATGGCACCAGTTGACATTGCCGGTCCTATAGTAAAGGATGGAAAATTAGAAAAGAAACCCGTTAGTTTCGTTAACCTTGCCGTAGGCGCAGGTAAATAGTATTTTGCGGAAAAAAAAAAAGTTGGATGAAACCAAAAGTTAAGAAAAGAATGCATTTGAGTTTTTTGTTTCCAAGTTATCTTGTTTGAGTCAAAAGGAATAAAAGAAATATCATATCCGGCATGTTTTTTTTTTTTTTTTATTAATTTAGGGTTAAACATGTTTGAAGTATCTACACTTGGTCAACCTTTCGAAGTTATCAAAACTCATTTGGCAGCGAATCGAAATGATAATATCTTGATATCTTTGAAAAAGACCTTCAAAAGAGGTGGAATTTTAGGGTTTTATCAAGGATTAATACCATGGGCTTGGATTGAAGCTAGTACAAAGGTACTTTTATTATAATTCTTTATTAATAAATCGGGTTAATCAATTGAATTGAAAAATTTAGGGCGCAGTACTTATCTTCACTGCCAGTGAATTCGAGTACAGGGCACGTGTCTCTGGAGCGTCACCTTTTTTGGTAAATCATAAAATTTATTTATTTATATTTTGATTCTTCTCGCTTGAAATTAACGATTATCGATTCATAGGCGGGAATTCTTGGTGGTATGGGAGGTGGTTTAGCACAAGCCTACACCACTATGGGGTTTTGTACTTTTATGAAAACCGTAGAGGTTACTCGTCATAAAGCTCCTGCAGGACAAGAAGTATCAACTATCAAAGTTGCATCTGAGATTTGGAAAAAAGAAGGTATCCGCGGAATTAATAAAGGTGTAAATGCCGTAGCAGTTCGACAATGTACCAATTGGGCTAGTAGATTTGGATTGACAAGAGCAGGTGAAACTGCAATTAGGAGAATTAGAGATGGTGATGTACCAGATTATAGTAGACCATTGTCCCCAATCCAGAAAATCCTGGCTAGTGCCATTGGAGGAGGTTTGTCTTGTTGGAATCAAGTAAGCGATAAATCCTTTCATTAAATATCAAATATTATTTTGTCTTGTTTATCGAATTCCTTTTTTTTTCTTTACAGCCTATCGAAGTAATTAGAGTTGAAATGCAATCTCAGGTTAAAGCAGCAGGAAGACCTGAGAAAATGACGATTTTTTCTTGTGCTAAATACATTTATAAGAATAATGGTTTGAAAGGATTTTATCGTGGTGTAACACCCAGAATAGGTTTAGGTATTTGGCAGACTGTTTGTATGGTATTTGGTGGAGATGCAGTCAAGGTAATTAAATATAATTATTAATATATATATATAATTTACCGTTATACTTTTTCGTTACATTCACTTACGAAAATTTTTCCATAATGTTGATTAGGCTAAAATTGCTCAAAGGCAAGCCGCGAAGATTTAAAAATATAGAGATGAATTAATTATTAATCTTATTTAAGTGATGTTTGAAACAAATTAATTTTTTATTATTTATTTTAATTTTTTAATTTAAATAATTTTTTAATTAAAGAATGTTTAAGTTATAATTTAGTATCTTATGGTTATGTGATTATTCGAAATCTACTATACAAATAATTTTAAATCCCCTAAACATTAAACATTAAAAAAAAAAAATTACATATAAAATGAAATAAACTACATTTTAAACGCAAAATTTATCTAAGAAATGTAATCATATTTTTATTTTTTGGGGAAAAAAAAAAAAAAAAAAAAATGGTAATGCCATTTATGAATATAAAAAAAAAAAGTGACAAAATGGAATTACTAAATTAAGCACTAAATTAAGAAAATATATCCCGAGTTCTTTACATCATTTTATTTTTTAATTTTTTTTTTTAGAGGTCATTCCCATGAACTCTCAACAATTTCTTTGACTCTTCTAATATACTCTTTACGATTTTCCCTATACAAATTAGCAGCTTCGGCATTTGCCGGTGAATTTGGATTAGGATCGTGCAATAAACTTTGAATGCTTGTCAATATGGCTGCAACATCATAAGTTGGAGACCATCTATTTTGAAGAATATCTAGACATAATTCTCCATTAGCATATACATTTGGATGAAACATCTTTGAAATGAATTTGACTGAAGGTGGTTTATTGGGATAATTTTCGTCAAATTGGAGAGCCAGTTTAAAAGTACCATCTTCAAATGGTGTTTCAGCTAAAAAAAAAAATTTTTTTTTTAAATGTACAAATATTAAATATTTTAATATAATCAATAATTAAATAATTCAATAATTAAAATTATTTATCCTCGTTCAATGAAATTCTTTGAAGATCATCATCCTAATATCTAATTAAAATTGCCATATCAATAAGTTGAATCAACTTGTTGACCTAACGAATAAAGTACCGTAAAGCGTTCTGTATAGTACCATTGGTTTATTATGATCGGAGGAGAGGGTACTATCTATGAGACGAATTTCGGATAAAAATTGACTATATAATTTGGAATATTCCGATGACAGAATGAATAAATATGAATAATTTTTTTTTTTTTTGTTGAAATAAATCAAATAAAATTCTAATTGAATACTACGCGATGCACAGAACCCAGAAACCATACAGCTCAGGCCTTCAGAAAAGACGAAAGTCACTAAACAGAACGCTTTAGGTAATAATTATGATTTTTCTCAAGACTTCCAATGTTTTTAAAAAAAGTTATCTGATAAAACTAGAAACAAACTATGAAGACTCACTGCGATTTTTAAACAAGTTCATCTAACGAGTAAAAATTTAAAACTTTCACTAACCAGGACCGAAGATGACAGCATTCCATAATAGTATGTTATCAGGGCAAGGAGCTCCCGAGATGCCCTCTGGAGGTTCATTTTGAAGCCTCTTAAAATCTCTCATAAGTCTGCGACGCGCTTCAGTAGACATCTTTTATTCTTTTTTGTTATTAAATAGAAGAAAAAGAGCTCGAATAATTATGAAAAGAAATTCTGGTGTGATTGAAAATCTCATAAAGGCATAAAGGTGTATTTAATATCCTTTTTTGAGCATTAGTAATACAAGCTTTGTGGCAATATTAGCATCGCGAATTCGGCGTAATTATCATAAAACTTTCTCTAGGTCATAATGTGGCTTATGTAATCACGTGAAAGATGAGATCATTAAGAAATTTATTATCGTTATGCTTTTTATCTTTCAATTATAAGATCAAAAAATATTATAATGTTAAAAAAATCAAATTCATATTAAAGAAGTATAAAGATTATAACTATTAGTAGTTTTCAGTAAACCAGTTTAATTGAATTTAATTAAAATTATTTGAATTCCATCTATTATATAATTTCTTATGCGTTCCAGAAGTGAAGATTTTATATCCTTTTCTTTGTGCAAATTTAATTTATAATTCACATAAGTAACAACTTCTCTTAGATACCGCTATAAACTTGGTGCTTCTATATTTTTCGTCTATAATATTGGTCAATTTGTTCACCTCTGCATGTAAAAATAAGTGTTGTTCGTTGCTTTCGTTGTCCAGTCCGTTACCATATATCTCACTTAGACTTGCCGATGTGTCATGATCATTCAAATATCTCCTCTTGAATCCTTAATACATTGCGCGATTAGGAATATACCTTTCGACAATATTTTTCCATGAAAATATGGGTTGATGAATAGTCACGGGACTCAATTTATGCACTTGCATATTAGAAAATAAGACTTTGTACTTTTCCTTACATGCACATGCTGTAATATCATACCTCCTTTTTAGAAATTTTTTCGGGGTAGTAGAATCTTTAACTATTTTATAATAACTACTACATGTTCCAAATAAATTGTATCCACTCGTTCATCTATAATCTCAACTTCAATTGAAGCATAATCTAAGAAAGCTTTAATAAATTGTTTTCGTTGATTAATAGTTATATCTTTCAAATTTAGTATCGAGCTTTTCAGAACAGAACTCCATTACAATTCCGAATAAACTCTTCACATATTTTCTTTTCCAGGCTTCATTTAATGCTATGGGAGCATTTTTAGACAAACTGATGTAGTCAGTATCTTTTTTGCGTCAAGCGCCGTTCTTAGTAATGTAAATAACACATTTATCTGGTAAGAATCAATCTTATTGCTACCACTTCTTTTTTTCTTGCTAATATAGTTGCTAGGTTACAAGGGAATTTTTCATACTCCTTCAGCAACACTTTCTTCTCTTGCTTCATCAATGAAAAATCTGATACTTTCAACACCACACACTTTACTATACAATTTTTTCTCCATTTTTTTTTGTTTGCCATTTGATATTCTGTATTTATAAGCCTTTATATTGATCGGGCACTCATATTGATTACAATATTCAGTAAAATTATCTCGAAGATGTATTGTTTATCGTATTATACAACAGAAAAATTTCTAAATACCGAGACGAAAAGTTTCTGCGGTTATGGCTCAAAGAGAGCTTGCAAACTAATACTTATTTTTCGTTCAGAATTTCGAGAACCTTATTAGCATCATGGAAGGTGGGCTATATAAATTTCGGCGGGGCTTTTACTAAGGATGTCGTTTATTTATTTCTGACACGATTGTACTCACGAATGTCATTAAGCATAATTGACGACCGTTTTTATTCTATCCTGAATATCGATACTGATGAAATCGGATTAGAGTTAATGTTGGGATTTTGTGTTAGTATAGATAGTTTAGATGAACGAAACATTGGTGTGGTCTGCAGGCATTAGTATAGAAACGCCATTTCAATTTATAAAACAAGTCCATGTATCATCGAATCATGTAATTTATTTTCTGTATCAATAAAGCCACATTTAACATTGTAATTCTGATCGTAATATTTTGTCACGGTTTATATCTATACTGACGAACTTTGAGTTATTTCCACCCTGTATAAAACAATGTCAAGCTCTCAATCCAAGGATTCATTAAGAGAATCAAATAGCTGAGATTAGCAATCTTAGGAAGAAGTTTTCTGAGATTAAGGTCGAGGATGATAAGCTTAAGGATAAGTATACTGAGATCCTTGAACTTAAATGGAAGTTTGTTGAGCTTAAAGCTTAGAAAGCTGAGCTTAAGACCAGAATTGCTGAGCTTCTAAAACAGAGTGTAAAAAAGAACAAGAGACGTGTTGTTGAGAATGTGAATTCAAAGCCAGAATTAAGAATTTGAAGAAAAACAAGACAGTTTCTTTAGCTAAAAATGTTAAGATTGCTAAGAATAAGATTGAAGTAGTAAAATTAAGAGATAATAATGAAGAAAACAAAGAACTAATCCAAGATATTCCTCTTGAGAAGATTGTTAATGTACCTAGTTCCATTATAGATTAACTTATTAATACCAATCCTCTTAACATACAGTCAAGAAAATATAAAAAGACTGATAAATTTTTAAATTTAATACATAAGAAAAAGGTTAGTAATAAGAAAGAGAAACTTCAACTTAAATTAACAGTTCAGGATCTATGTAAACTCAACTAAACTTCTCAATTACTTCAGATTTCTCATATAATATTCAAAGTAATTGAAATACTTTAGAAAGATTAGAATTTTAGAAAAATTGTCACAAATTATAATGATCAACAAAATTTATTTTAGTTAAAGTAAATGATGATAATGTTACTAAAATTTAATAAAAATTAGAATATAGAATAAGCATAATGAAAAAATTGCATAATAGTATTATTATTAATCCATTATGTTATCTTTAATAACCTACAAAATATCTATCATTATATCTAATTATGATATAGAACTTAGTCAGTTTATTTTAAAATATAATATAAGCTAAACATAAAAAAATTATATCTTAATTTTATTATTCAAATAATTTTGAAAATAAAGTTAATAAAATTTGTCATAATATTAAAATTATAGAAAAATGGCTAAACCTTATATATAAAGAAATATTAGAGCATTTATTTAATATCACATTAGAAAATTTATATATGATAATCCTAAAAATTAATAAAATCTATATATTATTTGAAAAAGGTAGTGTAAAAATAAATAAAGTTAAGCAAATTACTTTCAATATTTATACTATTTTGAATTTTATTATTAGACAAATTTAAAAGTTATTAAAAATGTAACTTTAACAGAAGTAATAAAGAATTACAATCATATGTTTTTCATATTATTTATGGTAATTAATTAAACTAATATTAGTTTAAAAAATTACTTTTACTTTGTAAAAAAAAAAGGAATCAAGATAAATACTTTATTGAAGATAATTTTATTAAATACATTTTAAGAAAGTATATTATTTAATTTGAATACTAATTTCTAAGACTAGTTTAAATAAGATAAAATATAATATTATATATTTTTAATAGATCATAATAGGTTAAATAGTAAAGTTATTATATAATAATATTTTAGAAATTTATTTAAATATTGTATAATTCTATGATCTTATAAATATAAAACCTATATCTAATTCATACAAGTTTTATTTAAGCCTAAATAAATTTTTATTTATCACATATTATTTAACTAAAAAAATTCTTAGTTTAATTAAATTAAAAAAGAAGAATTTATAAAATATTTACCTAAGAATTTATACAAATAAAATTATTCTTAATAGACTATAAATATAAAGATAATAAAATAGATATAAATAAATATAGATAAAATATTTAAGATTATTACTGATGTAAAAGATTAATATTTTATAAAATATACATTAGATATAAAAAAGGTTATTATTTAATATATCAAAATTTATAAACATTATTGTTATATATAAAGTTATAATATACAGAACATGATTGAAGAAATTTTAAATCATATTATATAATTATTAAAGGAGATATAGAAGATAATAAAAGTTTTGTAAAATGATGAGCAATAAAGATATTAAAAAACAAAAATTATTAAGTAATTTTATAAAAAAGTCAGGTTAAGTTAAAGTTTTAGTTTCTTAAAATAGAATAAAAAAATAATAGTATATATTATTATAGATATCATATATCACAAGTTACATCTTAAATCTTTATTTTTATTTTTACTTGAAGTAATGTATTATAAATAAAAATTTATATTTTTTAATTGATTAGTAATAAAGTATAATTAAAAATTATATATATAAAATACTCATTATAATTCAGAATAATTTAATAAATATCTTATCAATCAAAAATTAAAATCAGTAAATTAAATCATAATAAAGATCTAAGAACTTTCATGTTTTGATACTTATATTTATCAAATATAAAGAAATCTTAAATATAAAAATATCAGAAATATTAAAGATATTTTAATAAGAAAACAACTAAAAATAAAAATTTTATGTATAATTATCTTTAAATTAAATTTATTTAATAAAATACTTTAATTTATAAATATTTCTCTACTTATATTTTTTTATATAATAGTAATTTAATAATTGAGATACTCAAGTTATTTTTTAAGAAAATTTTTTATATATATAATTTTACAGAAACATTTATCTATTTTCACAAAATTAATTTAGAAAAAATATAGTTTTAAAAAATTTATTCAAAAGCTAATAATAAACTTTAAAAAATATATATAAAAAATAAATAAAAGAATAATATAAAATTTTAAAGTATGATTATTAAATAAAATTATTTATATATTATTATATTCTTTTTATTTATTAAACAAAATAATGAATTGTGATATTTCTATATTATATCTTACTAAAATTGCTATAAATCATTAAAATTGTTATAAAATTATTATAATATTATAAATTATTATAGTATTTAAATATATATAAAAAAAATTTTAAAGGTAATTATAAGTATATTAAATATTTAGTAATATTACATTAAAAATGATAAAATTCTGATTAAATAAAAAAATAGAATTTAATCTGACAGATTAGTTTAAATCTGATCTGAATCTGAAAGTTTATTGAAAAACAATTTTTCAGTTTTAAAAGAAATCTAAAAAGTTATTTCTTTTAATAAAAGAAATCTTTTTAATTTTAAAAGAAATCTAAAAGTTACTTTTTTTTTTTAATAAAAGAAATTTTTTGAGTTCTAAAGGAAATTTGAAAATTCATTTCTTTTTAATAAAAGGAACTTTTTAGCTCTAAAAGAGATCAGAAAATTCATTTCTTTTCAATGAAAAGAAATAAATTTTCAGATCTAAAATATTCAAAAATTCATACCTTTTTAATGAAAGAAATTTTTCAGTTCTAAAAGAGTCTGAAAATTCATTCCTTTTCAATGAAAAAAACAAATTTTTAGATCTATAAGTGTCTGAAAATTCGTTCTCTTTTAATGAAAAAACTTTTAGCTCTAAAAGAGTCTAAAAATTCATTTCTTTTTAATAAAAAAAACTTTATAGTTTTAAAAGAAATCTGAAAATTTGTTTTTTTTAATGAAAAAACAAATTTTCAGTTTTAAAGAATTCTAAAAATTCATTTCTTTTTAATGAAAGGAACTTTTTAATTCTGAAAGAGATCTAAAAATTTGTTATTTTTAATGAAAAAAATTTTTTAACTTTAAAAAAGTTGAATTCAGATCTTACGAATCAGATCTAAATCCAATCTAAATCTGATGAATCAGATCTGAATTTGAATATAAATCTGACAGATCTGATTTAATCTGAATTTGAATCTGAATCTGTGCAAAATACTAATGTGCAGTAATAATTAATAATTATTATAACAGGTGAATCAGAAAAATATTAAAAATTTATATAATTTATTTGATTAATCAAATTTATTAATTCTAACTGATATTGCGAATTTTAATTATACTTGTGATAATAAATAACTTTTTATTCTAAAATGTCTTATTAAAGATAATTACTGTAATTAAAAATATTAGCACAATTAAATTGCAATTTATAGCGCAATTAAATTTTATTATGATACAATTAAATTGCAACTCAATTAAAATTTAAAAAAAATTATAGAAATATTAGTCAAAATAGTTCAAATCAGCTAAAAATCAGATGGCTGATTTTAGGCTGATTTTGATACTATTTACAGCTAATTTACCATATTTTTGATCAGCATAAACAGGTGCTGATAGATATTAATCAATCCCAATTAGACATAGTCATTCAGAATTTAAATTCAACTATAAATCAGCTTAAAATTAACCTAAATTCAGTAACAATTCAGATGCTAATCAATGCTGATTGATTTCAATTGAATATAGCCATTTAGCATCAATTCAGATATCAATTAATGTTAATTGACTCCAATTAGACAAGCAATTCAGCATCAATAATCAGTACATTTTATTTATTAAATTTATTAAATATTAAAATTTTATTAATAATAAAAACCTAATATAAATTTGCAAAAATATAAAAATATAAAAATATAACAAAAAAAATATCACTAAAACCTACTGATTAATTTCCTATTAAAAATAGAATAATAAAATAATAAAATATGATTTATTTTCTTTCAAAATCCCCTTAAATCATCCTAAATATAGATAAATAAATAATATATGATAAAAATATGATCTATTCCTTCTGAAGTCACCCTAAAAATGTAAAAATAATAAATGTAAAATGTAAAAAAATAGAAAAATCAATCCAAAATCATCTGAAAAACATAAAAATAATAAAATCAACCTATTCTCATCCAAAATCTTCTGAAAAAAACGTAAGAAATAATAAAATTGATCTATTAACACCTAAATTGCCTGAAAAAAATAATGTAAAAAATAATTAAATCAATCTATTTCCATCTAAATCACCTAAAAAACGTAAAGATAATTATTAAAATTGACCCATTTTCATCTTAAATTATTCAAAAAAAATGTAAAGAAAATAATAAAAAATCAACTTATTCCTCAAATCACCCAAAAAATGTAAAAATAATTAATAAAATC